TAAGTTTCTAAAACATTTCGACGTTTTCATGGAGAAAGTGTAGCCTCGAAATATCCACGAATGGTTCATTGATTATTTGCGACGTACTACTCTCTGTGCCTAAGTAAATAGCGATGTTTTTGTTGAGCAAACGCGAGGTGTTATTATTCTTTATTCACAAATGAGCTGACGTTTCGGCGGATTTCGCCTTCCTCAGAGCCTGGAAAGGTCAAGTTGACAGCAATCTACTTGGCCAGACGCCTCCATAACCAAACAAAGAAACTCTAAACCAAGATTTCAATCACATTGAACACAGCTTTGCACACTCACCGCACAAAAATACGAAGAATTACTTGATCAATGCCGAGGTTAATAGAAAGTCGGTCGTGGGAGTTACTAAATAGCGATGGTTAAGTGTACGATGATCAATCCCTCGATGTAATTTTATCGACCTCTATCGACCTGACCGCAATATCAGGATGTACTGGAGGTCTTATGACATCATATGTGAGATGATCAGTGCGATTCTTCTGGATACTAGGGTAACACGGAAATCGACGCTGCCCATAGCGATTCATGAGAGATCAGAAGATAATACATCTGTACTTCTACCGAAATCTGCTCTTTAGAGTGTAAGATACTTGGCTCAGCTAAAATTGAATTGTACTTGTTATTGTTTTACATTTAATACCACTCAAATTATTTCACTGTTCCGAGAAATATTCGGCACTTTGCGTTGGAATAGATGGATAAGAATCAGTACTTAATGGTGGTTTGTTCAACCATAGGAATGCTGAGATATGAGCGAAGCGGAACTTCAGGTGGGCTTCGAACCAGCGACTACTCTTACCGGGTCTCATATGCTATCCACCACACCAACCAAAGCCTTTGTTTTGTCTTTCTCTCAGTCATGCTCTTTCCTCCTTTCTTTCTGGAGTTCCGAGTTCTGCTCATATCTCAGTATCTTTGTGGTTGTATTTCATATCATTCCCTGCCATTAAAAAAGAGTACACAGTAAATAAAGGTTAAAAACATTGTGAATTCGAATGCAACTTAAGCATGACTAGGTTTAATGCCGACTTATGTTCTCCATATCATTCCCGTTAGCGGATGATTGTTAATAGCGTCAATGGGGCAAAAAAAACTTGAGAAAAAGGCAAAGGAAAGGTCTCGGTTGATGTGATGGATAGCACGTGTGTCCCTGGTAAGGGTAATCGCGCGTTCGAGGCTGAGCTAAGGGCCTGGATCTAGTTCACATATCAGCACTATAGTTTCATGTTGTGCCCCGCTATGAAAAAGAGTAGGAAGAAAACAAAAGATAAAATATTATTTGTTCAATTGCTAAACACTTTACAACCGCCAAGGAAGGAAAACCTGTTATAGCCACAATAAACCTAGAAATGACGATCCGGAAGCGAATAACCAGAGTGGACGTCATGCTGTCTGATTTCACAGAGAACTCTTAGGACGGACCACAGGAAAAAATGGAACAATGACAGAATTTGTCCACCATGACTTCAAATGGTACATCAGATGACATAATAGGTTTTCCACCTGGCCCATTGCTGGTATACATTCACTTTTATTTTCTGTGTGTTCGTAGAATTGCTTCCATATAACGCCCGAAGTGTTTTGGGTACTTCTAAATCCTACCGGAACTGCTAAAAAGCTACTTTTTTATTTTATTTAATCCGTCTTCACGTCTACTGTGCGGAACCGAGCACTTATATTCAAATCGTTTCCTCGCATTCACTCTCCAGGAAGATCTTCCAACCTTACGTGTGGCTTCGGTTGCTGCTTGGGGATTTTCATTTCATCTTGAATGTCGTAGAATGTTGGTCGAGCAATTCTCTCTGGAGTCCTGATATAGCCGGGCTGGATCGTTCCCAGATAGATAGATTGCGGAGAGTGGTTTTTTCCCAGACAAGTCTGATACCAATTTACCTACGCCGGGAGGATGAGAGGCTTGGTTGGCACGGAGCGGAATCGAACTATCACCATGCTCGTGACGACGTAAATCACTACTACTGTGCTCTCCGCCCCTAAACAATCTATTGATAATGGGACATAAAGTAGCCCTCATTTATTTTGAGGTGATACTTGAAGAGCTTTAGAAGCTTTAAAAAGCTACTGGTTGTAAATATCATCTAATTCTTCTGGAACATATTGTGATGGACACTAAAATGTTTCGATCAATGTTTTCGGATCTCTTCAAGCATCACATCGAAAAAATAACGACTACTTTATGTCCCATTATTAATGGACTGTTTATGAATATATTAAAAGTTACGGAAACTACTCGAACTCAACAGCTTCACCATGGCTACGAGATGTACTAATCAGTAAAATTATCTAATTTGAGGAATTTATACCTAGATGACCAATTAAGAGCAAAACAACACTAAGAATTGTACTCGTTACCAAGTAGACCTAGAGAGAAACCCCGGACCATGCCTTTGGAACTGGCGACGGCTTGCGACAACGGCTTGAGAATCCTTTAAACGGGCTGTTTCGAGCTCCTAGCAAAAACGGACATCTTACTTTAAAAGCAAAATAGTTCACAAGTAGAAATCCCATTGGGACCCTCACAACTTTTATACAGTTAATAAATATCGAAAAAAAAAACCACCGATTGTTTTGTGCCAGCTTGATCTTAGAGCAATGTCAAACTATACTAGTGTGAGCACAGTTTAATCCTCAAAGTAATTCCTATCTTTTACTTGATTATCAGTGATAATCGACACCTAGAATTGAACAAATCGGATGATAAAATAAAAGTAAACAACTCCACTGGATGAAGGAATGGATGAATGAAAAAGTAAAACATTACAAGAGTAAACGAGACGAACTTAAAGTTAGAGGTGGATGATATTCCATCGATTTCCTTACTGATTATCAGATGAAAAGTAATCTTCCTCAAGTTCTTAATAAGTAAGAGAAAGTCAGTTAAGAAGTACTCTTGGTCCCTAAGGTCGATAACATGAAACGAAACTGGAAGAATGCTGTCATGGCTCGAAAGATGTTACAACAGATTATTTACTTGAAAACATGAACAAGTAATAAACTAGCTGACAACCTTAGACGATTCTAGAAGGATCGATTGGATATTTCTAAATAGAACCTTTCGGTAAGAAACGTACTACCAAAGACAGCATGATAGCCGGTAAATATGAAAGTGGAAGGTCCGATTACCATAAGACCTAAGTTACTTGTCCAAAAGGTACGGTCCTTACTGGTACCACTACACTGTAGATGTGTATTGTCTTATATTCATGGATCGCAGGCTCCCAGCGTTGAGCTTGTGGAATCCTTAGTGTTCACTGTTACTGTTTAAGAAAGGACAAATACTTCTACGCTAAGCATGACTGACAAATTAGGGAAATTACTCCGGTGTAACGGACACCTCCCAGCTCGGGGATGTTATATGCCGAGGCGGGCGATGCACCCACCCGTGTCTACCACGCATTCCCCTGCGTCTCTGGTTGAACGCGGGACGAGTTGCCATGTGCTCTCGCCGCCTCGACGCTGTTCAATCGTTTCAACTCGTCCTCGTCGCTCGGCCACCACAACCGTCATCTCGGACGGAGTCTTGTGATTTTGGACAGTTCGACCATTTATTGAAGAGTAAGGATGACGTATACACCGGTAAAAGCGATATTCAAACCATCCCAACAACGTGGGCGAGATATTGCTGTCTATGTGCTACCGGAGGATCCGGACCTTTGTATGGAATTCAGCTTCAAACGGTTCAACAGCCAAGGTAGCATTGCTAGTTACGTTTGTACGGCATGTAGAGCTCTTAAGGACCGTGCCCCTCGTCTGTACGGCGTTGTCCCGACGGTGAGGATCCAGAACGGCTATTTCGTGAGCGATCCCACATGTACGGAAAATCCGCACTTTTGTGAACCACGAAATTTCCCTCGTTCAATGATGAGAAGAGAGATTATTGCAAAATTCAACGATATCAGGGAAAATATTTGCGAAAGCGGGACACCAGAACAAGTTGAGGAGGATCTCCTGCAGGCGATAAATAAGCCAGAGTATGGTGAGTGCTTAGAGTGTAGTGCTACTCGAAATTGATACAGGAGAAGTACTGAAAACCACGCAGTACTGCGTTTTTTCTTTAGCTCATTTTGGTGATGAAGAACGTCAAGAAATGGTTAAGCAGTTAGTGATGGGACATATCGGTGGACGAGATACCCTGAGAAGCATGATTCGCACCAACAAGAAGGCCAAGCGGCGACGTACGCAGTTCGAATATCCTGATACCGGGCCACTGCCACCACCACCTCAACCAGGATCGTTGGAGGTCGTTCGACGTATCAAACAGGAGGTTCTCGAACCCCGTGAGATCGTCGCATCGTCTGTGCCACCCGCTAGGACACGGTTCGTATCGATTTTCCCTCGAAGTAGTGTAACTGTTCTGTTTCAGCAAAAAAGACCGTCGTTTAGCCTCGGTAGTAATAAGCAATACGTTGAAAGAATTATACGATAACTATAATATAATAGTATAATCAGAAGTTGGCCGAATAGTCATCTTTATTACCCTGGTGATAGCCTAAAAACCCATGAAGGTAAGTGATCCGTTTTCTCGAAACACATCATTATTCGACACTTCCTCAGTTTTAGCAATTTTTCATGGATCCATGAGATTTGGTCAGGTTTGTTCAAAAGTTTTTCCTCCTTGGACTACGACTCCTTAGTCTGGGCTCTCACTTTGTTCAACCTCTTTAGTCGTGGTCCCATATGATTGCTTGTAACTTGAAGGAAAGCTGTTGCTTACCGGGCCGGATTTGCTTTGATAGTCGATGAAAATGCCACTATCTGTAATTATCTAGACATCCAGCAAATAAACGAACTTTAATGATAACAAAGTGAAGGATAACATAGAGTCTTGGTCATTTTTCTTCTCTTTCCTTTTTTTAAAGGATCCTACTTACTATGTTGTTTTCTATATGATATGATTAGTTTATAGAGGGAAATCAACATACACGAAGGTAGTGAAGATTTGCAAATCGGCAATGACTCCGGCACCGAGCAATCTGGGAACTGCTGAGGGATTTTCTCAACTCCTTATCAGTGATCCTTCCAAGTCCACTGGATTGGCTGCCATAGAAACGTTGTTCACGGCACTTGAAAATAGTCGAGGTGCTAAATATTAACTTTCGTTTACTGCGTAGTATTATTTTTTAGGTAGGGTATGATGTGAAATACAACCACTATGATGCTGGGTATTTGCAAAACTCGGTCATGGGCCAGATTCGATCTCGCGATTACCCTTTCCGGGGGCTCACGTGTTGCCCACTGGACCACTGAGGCCTTTACTTGACAAAGTACTTTCATTTGCAACAAAACAATATGTTATTTAGTAGCTTATTTTTCACTTATCTTACTTTCGTTCCCGTTTTCCTTTACTTATTTCCTTACTTATCTTCCGTTTCCTTTTTTCTTCATTGTCAACTTGCATCATATATCGATATGGGGTGAAAATTTAGCCCAGTGAGCAAACTACAAAGGACAGCATTTTTCATGTTTAAGTCTGCTAAATTTCGTATTTCAAGTTCATGTTCAGTTCCATTTCAAAAGCATCATGTGCATAAATAGCTTGACTATTTGAGGTTTTTTAGCCACTACCGTAAATGAGTTAAACAAAGAATTGACCGAAATCGTCAGTGGTATGGCAAAGACGGATTATAGCTCAACATCCATAAGAAGTGCTACGGACCTATTCCGAAGGTGACTAAATATTTATTTTCTATTTGTTTTAACTTTACGATGTGTACTGTTGATGTACTTGAACTCAGCTGTTTTTTCTTTAGGTTTATCACTCTTGCCCCTCCTGAGCTGCTAGATCAACGGGATTTTTCGAAAGTTCTGGCTTTCTATAGACAGCGGGGAAAGATATTTATTGAAAGAGTGGCAAAATCAAGAGCGATGATTGCTAAACATGCTAGACCGTTTTTCAGAAATAACATGGTAAGGATTTTGTCAGGGTAAATTAAAGGTTAACGTTAACAAATTTGAGCTGGTCTATCTTATTGTCCCGATTTTCAGAATATATTAACCCATTCATATAGCAAAGTAGTGTTGGAATCGCTAACCGCCGTTCACAAAGCAGGGACATTCGTTCACGTATGGGTTGGTTTTGTGATGTCTGACAGTTCTTTTCAACAGCTTTTCCCGCAAATAATTTTAATTGTCCAAAATCTAGGTAACGGAGTCACAACCTGATGCTTCAGGTGCCAGGATGTATGAGGCTCTTCATAACGAGGGTATTAAGGTCACTTTGATTCTAGATAGTGCCGTAGGGTGAGTACAGATCTCATTCCTAACTAGTTCGTTCAGTGTCTATTTGTCCTTTTAGAGGTTATGGTTTATAGTAGTATTATTGCTCCCAACGGTCTACCGCCTCATCGTGGTTGAGAGGAGTTCCTGGATGTCGGGGATGCGGTGTACAGTGGAGGGAGTCACATCTTCAGTTGGGCCTCCCAAGCTGGGGAGAGGTCCGGCTTTTCTAACAGGATGTCCAGCTAAGAGTAAACCAACATCAGGATCTACCACCGTCTTGGTATCAAAGTAGTTTCATGGTGCCAAATCTACCTCTGCTCCGCAGGGGCGTCGACTGCCTGTGGTAATGACGACCTGGAGCAGACTTCGGTTAGGTTGACCTCGAGACTCTGGGGAACCACAGTGGCTAAACCAGCAAAGCTTCGAAAAAAGTGGAAGTCATGCTGGGGCCAACACAACCACTGAAGACAGGCCATACCTATCAAAGTATCCAAATAAAATGAATAGTACCAATGGAATCAACATATTAACAATGGAATGTGAGTTTAATAAGAGATCGTGAGAGTTGTAACAATCAATACTATCGATAAATGGTTAACAACGAAAACTTAAGCATAAGCCAGGGCCTAAATACAAAAGTACAAGTACAAATTGTTGGTGCAGAATTCCTTGAAAAGCGAAGAATGATTTGAACTTTTTTGCTGGCTATGAATTGTAGATAGTCCATCATTTAACAGCTGTGGTTGGCAACCTCGTTGTCTAAAGAACATGAGGACTCGTATCGCATTGTTACCCTAAGGGCATTCATTTCTAGAAACGATTAGCGGTAGAGAATCGGAGTTAGCATAGTATGTAATCATATTAATCAAAAATATAGTGCGTGTTGTATTTCATGGTGATGGAAAGTAGTCTTCATATCCACAATCTTCGTACTGTTTTCCAGTTATTTAATGGAACGTATTGATTTGGTTATTGTTGGTGCCGAAGGTGTTATGGAAACTGGCGGAATTATTAATAAGGTGTTTTGTTTAATTTCTGCAGTCATGTCTTTCAATTTTCCGAGTTTTGCGTTTTTACTCTTTGAGTTTTATCTTTCTTTTTAGAGCGTTTTATTCGCTGTTTGCCTTGCACTCCTTATCTTTGTGTTAGCTGCTTCATAACGTTTATGTTTCCGATGAAAATTTATAATTACATTTGTGTTACAGATAGGAACTCTCAATGTGGCAATTTGCGCTAAGACAATGAATAAGATCTTCTTTGTGATGGCTGAAAGTATTAAGTTCGTCAAGGAGTATCCACTTAACCAGGCTGATATTCCAGAGGAGTTCAAGGTTCCTAGGCTTTTTTCATCAATTAATCAAAATAGAGAAACGGCTGAAGTCTTCTTATCCAATCAACGTTTAGTATCGCACGTCCGTTTTGGAGAATGGTGACCTATCCATTGAACATCCATTGGTTGATTACACTCCTCCTCAGGTGTGTAAAAGTCCTTTCTACGATATTTGTTATCTTTGTGTCAAAGTCTAGAATCATTGTTGTCATGGTAATGATCATTAACACTTTTGACTAAGATGAGGCAACCTCTCAGTGTCTTTCATTCTCTTGAATTGTTTGTGAAACATAATGTTTTCAGTATATCAATCTGTTGTTCACGGATCTTGGTATCCTTACACCAGCTGCAGTTGGAGAAGAATTGATAAAGCTGTACACATGAGTTCGAGTCTCGTTGGAATTCTTTAATAATATGAACTTGAAAGTGTATAACTGATTACCCGTTGTTCTCTGTTGGGTATTTAGATAAGACGAAGATAGAGTATCTGAACTCAATTCTTCATTGGTGAAATATAAATAAACCCAGTTTGCGTTATAGGGTTTATTCGTTTGTGCTTGTTTCTTGTGCTTGGCGATAGGTCCCGTTAATTATTGCGAGCTGCATCAGTTGACAACGTTTGTAATCGTCATGAGCTGGGGTTAGGAGCTGGCGAACACTTTCCACACCCTGTCGTAGTTTCTGTTGGCACCTATATTAGCAATAAGTGGAACATTTGAAATACGCTAGTATTTCAAGCATTTAATTTTGTGTCTGTAAACTGAGCGACCGTGAAAACGAAGTACTTCAAACGAATTTCTCGGAATTATTCATTACGATTTAGATGTGAATTGAGCATTTTAACGAAGTAGTTTCGTGTTGTAAGATTAGCAAACGAACACTGTTTGATTGTTGTCCACGGCGGTGACGAGAACATGTAGTGGTTCTTCAAGGTGGTCCCAACCTGGTTGGCCACGAAGTCTTTGCTCCTTGCGAGGGTCCTATGTGAATGATCGTAACTTTTCAGTGGAAGTTATGAAAGTAAGAAACAAGTTGTCTCGAGGCGCTAAACATTTACTTTCACACTCCCTCTTCCTCGAATTAGAATATGACAGCCGGTGTCTGATTCCAGCTGCTTGACGCTCATTCCTGCTGGGCCAATGATGCGCCCAATAAAGTTGCATTTTGAACTGGAATGTGTTGCTATGAAATAGTAGACCACGAATTTCTTAGATACCATGGTAGTTTTTAATCACAGCAGCGAAGTCTCCTGCCTGCGTCTTCGTAGATGATGTTTTGCATAAACTGTTGGAAACAGGATTATGACACTAAGTGGAACAGTACCCCTTGATCCTACGCCCATGTGACCTTGGTATGAAAACCTTCTCGTTAAGCGTAAAGGCGTGTTGAAATGCTTCTTCCGTCGCAGCCTGAAATCTACGTTCACATAAGATGTGCTGCTTTTAATGATTTCAACTTTGACCCAGTTCTTAAAGTTTAAAAGAAGTAAGGGGTAGACCTTGTTTGTTGCAGTAAGTGTAAACTACTTTTCTTTCTGTTTTGAAAAACATTGTAAGCATTTACTGAGGAACTAGTACCAGCCAGGTCGTTGCTCACACAGTCTTCATTTCAGAACTGTCTCACAAATGTATATATCTTATGACGAATAAAGTTGAATAGAAAATGGAATACCGTTCCATAAAGTGATGACTGTTTAGCGTTTGTGATGCAGTTAAGAGCCCGGTTCATGTTTTGGACCAGAGTGTGTGAAAGCTCCTGTGCATCTACAGCTGCCGGTGATGTGACTTTGCCATCTTTGTGAGCATTAGTACTCGATATTGACTGCGGAACCGTAGAAGCTGGATTGACCACTCTGTATAAACGAAGGATCTCTTCCATTAAAAGCATCTGAAATGGAAATCTGTACTCGATCACACTTTTATTTCCAAATATAGGAAATCAAAAAGCCGTCAACAGTATCCGTAAACATACAGATCACTGATGGTTGCAGTATCAGTCTCTAGCAAGTTGTTGACGTGTTTCTCGCTTCAGCAGTATTGAGGTATTATATTACAAGAGAGGCGCATTTAGCGCAGTGGTTGGAGCTGCGCTGCAACACTCAAGCAGTTGTTGATCCGGTCCGGTGCGGCGGACTAGTCAAACCCTACTCTCCTGTGTAGGCAAATTGGTACCTGACTTGTCTGGGAGAATAAAAGCACTGACGTCGTACAACGCTAGGTTACCATTTAGGTTTTTATAGGTCAGATATGCATTCAATCACTTGTAACGATGCTTCTTGAAGTGGAATGCATGTCGCATCCTTCAAGGATTGGTAAACACCAAAAGCTTTATCCACTTATTTGTTACAAATAGTAGTTGACACCTTGTTAACTATACATAAAGGCAATGGTAAAACCCACTGGAAGATACTAGACTCAAATGTAGCATCTACGCATAAATAGAACTTATCGGTATATTCCAGTGCATACCTTAGAATGAGGTAGAAAACTGGGATCTGCCTGCTGCACCATTGATATTTGGTGGGCCTCGCTCATCAGTTCGGACAGTAATCTCGACCGGAAAATCATGTATTAACAGTACACAATAGCAAATTTTGATTGGAACTGTTCTGCGTTCTAATTTTCAACCGAGAAAATCCTGATCTTTTGCGCGTATTTATCCTATGGGCGCGTGTGGCGCAGTGGTCGGAGGCGCCTTGCAACACAAACGTGAAGTCGATCCTCGCGCCCATGGCCCACAAAGCCCCCCATCCTTCCGGAGTAGGCAAATTAGTACCAGACTTGAAGCATAGCAGCACTGGCGCGATACATGGGACATGGGCAGGCTACCGCGAGTCACTGTAAAGGACAGATATGCATCCAATCACCTCCAAACGATGCTCAATGAAGTCGAATGCATGGCGCATCCTTCAGGGATTGATCAACGTTGAGAGCTTCAGAGCTTTTTATTTATCCTATGAATGGATAGCGTTTATTCTAACCAGAGTTCGGAATATTTGCACAGCTTGTTTTGATTGGTGACAGGCGGAATACATACCGTTTAGTCAGGGGCATCCTTTTGCTTTTAATATTTTGTTCATATAAAATACAAATTGAAATTGTCTTCGTAATTGTAACCCTACCACCCTTTACCAGAAGTAACATGAAGCATTCTTCTTAGACGTTCTAGTCAAACAATTTCGTGGACCAAAGATCACACTACTACAAAGACTCATTGAATTACTGTAGCTACACTTATGTGAAGAAATAAACTCCTTTTTTCTTCTTTATAGCCAAAATAACTAATAGCTCAGTTGAGTACCAAACTGTTCTCAATTTACTATGGCGTTCCGCGAGGCGCACGAGGTTTGGCCAACTCACTTTCTTCTGCATGTAGTGATATAGTCATTTAGTTCGCTATTGTCCATGAAGTCCGGAAGAAAGAATATGCGTTTCTCACGACCTTATAAGACCCGCGTAAAGGGAGAAATGAACAAGCTTGAGCGTCATTCATTCGTTAACAACAGTTATCTGAGAGTGATAGGTGCTAATACGTTCTCAAACATTCGAATAGCTCACATTCTGAAACGGTTCTCTACCCACGTAGTTGAGGTATTGCTAGAAAAGCGTTAACAATTATGTTTAACTTTCTACTTACTGCCTTTTACATTCTTTCACGACATGGTATTATGTGTGATACGACTTTAATGATGCAGATATTGGGAAAACTCCAGACTGCAGGTGTCTGCAGTGGGGAACGAACGCGCTACTTGACTTTCCGGGGGCTAACGCGTTCACCATCACACCGTGCGAGTCCCTCGTTTCGCCTCTCTCTCAGCTTGTTTTCCATTGATCTGTGCCGTCAGCAATCACCCGTACCCGGGTTCGGAGTTTTGCAAATATCTCAGCATCATTTTGATTATATCACGAATGAAATTGCAGTCTTAATCGACTTCGATGATTTTTGTAAGCAAAAATGGGAGGGCAGTTATTGTTGAATGGGACTGAGCAGTTCTGAGACGGTTTAGTGGAACAGATGTGTTACATGCTCTTCGTCCGCATTAGAAGTTACTTGGTTTCAAGTTCTGTAGACACTTTACCTACAACCTAACTTTTATTTACTACATATTCTTTCTTCATAGCAAGGTATCATGTGAAATACAAATGCAACGATGACAGAGAGATGAGAGATGACAAAGACGGGAACCTTATTTGGGCATCGGACCCGCGAATACCCTTACCGGAGGTTCACGAGATATCCAGGTCACCAATCCTACCATTGCTTCGCTTTTTTCTTAGCCAGATTTTTACTCTAGCAGTGCTCTCAGCAATCATACGTGAACGGGAATGATCTGAGGTGAACAAATCGCTAATGAAATCAGTTAAGCTGAAGCTGTAGCCCAAATTGTAATGTTTAACTTTCATTTGCTGCCTGTTCTTTTTTCTTAGCAAGGTGTTGCATTTCACATAATGCCCTGCAATGGAAAAAACTACGTGCTATTCAGATCCCAGCGGCTCCCATGTCACACGACCTCCACCTGATCATTGGTCTTCCGAACGTGCTTATAATACGAATGCGCTTTTCTTTAGCGCAGTTTGCAAATGAAGAAGACGGCATACCAATCACTGTGCAACTATTTAGTGAATTTTGTTAAGCGACAACAATTTATGGAGGTCCGCGTAGTGTTTTGCTGAGAACACTAGCCATGCAGCAGCCATAAGAAGGAGAGCAGCTTATGTAAATTTCTTACAAATGTTAATTTGGTCTTCTAGACAACGGTATGACCGAAATTTTTTTAAGCTGGCAAGGTTAGAACGAGATAGAGAGATAAAATTGACACATTGAAGCATTCGAACCTGTATGGACAATGCTCACCCACTTCAAAATAAGCGAAAAAGTTCAACCTATGGTAGTAGGAAACAATCTTTAGAAGTTCACATACCTTAGTACACTGTTGCACATGCCGTAAGGTTGCTGATAATGGCTGATCGGATGGGTGAGGTAGAGGACTCAATAATTTTAATGGATGTAATCAGAAATTTGTTAGTGATTACTGCTTTCCATTCTGCGTAACAACAAATGTAGGGTCCCGCCAATGCCCCAAGGTGAAAGCGGTGTGTAAAAAAGGATAAATGAAGGACAAAACTCTTGGCGTTGATCAATCCGTGAGGGATGCACCGTGCATTCGACTTCATTAAGCGTCGCTTGGAGGCGATTGAATGCATATTTGGCCTTTACAATGACTTGCAGTGGCCTACCGATGTATCGAGCCAGTGATTCTATCCTCCCAGACAAGTCTGGTATCAATTTGCCGACCCCGGAGGTATGGAAGGCTTGGTAGGCCATGGGCGCGGAATCGATTCCACGTGTGTGTTGCAGGGCGCCTTCGACCATTGCGCCACACGCTCCTAAAAGCGATGTGTAGTGACAAAAAATACAAAGCGTAGCTGAACAAATGCTATATACATTAGCTGACTTGCTTCGCCAACCCTTACATGCATCATAAGGTTAAAACCGTTTGTTCTACTTATTCAGAATGATTCCGAAAGCGTATGTTACAGAACTAGTCTTTTATTCGTGAAGTGTTGACACTTTCCATTTCCCACTTCTCCGTTTGCGACGTTTTTGGAAACTGGGCGGACATCTAGAAATGCTTCAGAAGTTTGTAATCAGACTGTCTTCTTTATCTAAATTGACTAAGTTTGATTTTAAGCAAAAATAAAAACACCCTCTTGCAAATATTTGTTATGAAATAAGTTCACTCTGAACGTTTTAGTCCCATCTTTCCCACTTTGGAACAACATTTGACATTAAACTCGACGAAGAGATGGCTTGTAGCGGTAAAGTTTTTTTCATGCTCGACATCAGGATATCCTTATCTTCAAGAATGAAAACATTCGGTATGAAGGATGGGAAGCTTTTGAAAATGTCGTTTATTCGTTTTGATGGGCTTAAGTTACGTACGTCAGTATATCTGTAAATGGACTCGTTCGGAAGTAATAAGAATAACTCCCACGGCCGATTTACTGTTAACCTCGGCATTGATCAAGTAATTCTTCGTATTTTTGTTGAGCAAACGCGAGGTGTTACTTTTATTCTTTATTTACGAATAAGCTGACATTTCGGCGGATTTTGCCTTCCTCAGAGCCTGGAAAGCTCAAGTTGACACCAATCAATTCGGCCAAACATCTCCATAACCAAACAGAGAAAACGTTAAACCAAGATTTCAATCACATTTAG